ACTTAACCCTCATGAAAACATTTCCAGGTAGGTGCATTATTCTCCATTTAGAGATGAAAGAATTGAGTCTGGAGAGAAAACAAGATGTGGCAAGAAGAGAGAGCTCCAAAGCCCCCTCTTAACTGCGTTCTGAGCTCTTTCCAGAAGGAAGCTATTTATCAGGGTGTTGGTGTGACAACCGGAGAGATTCAAATACCTCCCCAAACATCCCAGCTCCTCTCCACCCGGCCCAGCATCCATGACCTTAAAAGGCATGATAAGGGGTCCTTTATCACAAAATCAGGAGCGGTGAGGCTAGCTCCCCTGCACCACTGAGTGGCTCTGGCGCTTTCTGTCCCTCGGTTTCCCCACCTGGTCAGGATGGAGTTGAATTTACTCCAAGAACTCTAAATGAGTCAGAGCAACCTGTCCAATAAAAATACAAGGTAATTAAAAATTGTTCTAGCCACATTCAAAGCAGTAAAAAGACACCAGTGAAATGAACTTTAAGAATATGTTTTATTGAGGGCCTTCCCTGGTGGCGCAGCGGTTGAACGCTGGGCTGAGAGGCTGCCCACAGCCTCTGCAGCGCCGGTTCGATCCCCGGCCACTGGCAAGGGTCCCACAAAAAATAAATAAATTATGTGAATGTATTATTAAAAAAAAAAAAAAGAATAAGAATATGTTTTATTGAACCCAGTCTACGGACCATGCGGTCATTTCAAAATATAATTCACAATTTAAAAATCAGTATAAAAATATAATACTTTATATTCTTTTCATACTAAAGCTTTTGAAGTTGCGCATGGATTTCACACTCACCTGCCCACTCAGACCAGCCTGGGTTTAAAAGCTTATGGCCATGCGTGGCTGGCGGCTGCCACACTGGACCACGCAGGTCTAGACTCTTTCTAGATGCACACTCCCCGTTGGGCAAGCTCTCAGGGCCTCTGGGGAAGCTGTCGTGAGCCCATTTATACGTTCCACGTAACCCTGAGGTGCCATGGAGCGAAACCCCAGGCCACCAGGCCAGGAGGATGGTGGCTGCTGGAGTCGCTTCCTTTCCTCTGCAGCCACGGGTTACTCAGCCCAGCCCCTGGGAGGCAGACGGCCCTGCTTTTTCTCCCAAAGATTCCCTTAATTGGAAATTCAGTCTGAGCTCAAAATCTAGCCAGTCAGCTGCCCCCCCCCCACACACACATGGCACCAGCCCTATGGGTAGAGGAAACAGATACATAGAAATCCAAGTTATCCCGGGACCTCCTCTCAGCAGAGGCGCCTGGAGGAAAGCACCTCTCAAGCCAGACACTCAGGTCCCCTGGAGCAAAGCACTGTCATGTTCCAGGGCATGGATCTTGGCAGGAAGGACAAGGCTGGGGGGGCCTCCCTCCTCTCCTGCTTCCATCTCCTCCCCTCAAGCTCCAACACATCGGGATGACAAGGACTGCTTTGCTGCTGGCTGCTCTGGGCCAGGCATTTTACAGGCTCTATTACCACATTTACACTTCACTACATGCCAGGAGGAAAAAGGACCCCGGATTCAGAGTGGCAAAGCTACTTGGTCAAGGTCACACAGATCTTCAGTAGAAGAGCCAGGATTCCACTCATGGCCTCTGGAATCAAGCGCCTCTGCTGTGACCTACTGGGGTGCTGCATGGCCGGGGCCCATGGGTTGTGGCCGTGGTGACTGCACACGCCTGGCATAATGATTTTAAATGTTCCCTCTGCAAGAAGGGACAAATCACCCTCACAGAAGGATGCCAAATAATACACATTGATTCCCCTGCCCCAAAGCTTAATTCCAGATCTTTCTTCCTCCTGAATGGTGGTGGAACTTAACGTCTTTCTTTCAAAGAAACAAGCATGGGAAGGGAGAGAGAACTGTTGACGCCACCGTGACCAAGTGAGCAAGGTCAACACCATCGGGGTTAACTCAAGATCAGGTGCTCGTGATACCAGGGGAGGAGAAGGGCACTTTGCCTCGGGGTCTTCTCCCCAAAACCTATAACCTCAGTCTGATCATGAGATAAAATCAGATGAACCCAAGTTGAGGGACATTCTACAAAATGCCTGACCAGGACTCCTTGAAACCATCAAGGTCATGGAAAATAAAAAGCAGCAGCTGCCCCAGACCAGAGGAAACTAAGGAGACTTGGCAAGTAAAAGCAATATAGGACCCTAGGGTGGAAAAAGGACAAACTAGTACAATTCTGGAAAAATTAGTAAAATTTGAATAAAGTCTGGTGTTCAGTTAGGAATAACATACCACGTGCCTTTGAGGAGTGCATAAAGGTAGTGTAAATGGGAACATTAGGGAAACTAAGCAGACGATGTGGGATTTCTTTGTACAGCTTTGCATTGTTTCTAAAGCCTAAAAGTATAAAATCATTCTAACATAAAAGCTTATTAAAAAGAGAAAAGATCCCCCTTTTACTACGAGGAGCACTATCAGACAAGAAATTCTAGTATGCTCTGGTTACAAGCCTGCCTTATCCTTAACCAAGAAGTCTTGAGATTTCTCTGGGCCTCAGTTTCCACATCTGGAAAATGAATTCATTGAGTGGTGACAATGACAGGTTAGGCTTCTGAGCCCATGCTAGGTGTCCAGCACTGTAGGGGACACTGTGATGTGTCACCCAGTTTCCCATTCAGGACTGAGGACTTATTACTCCCCCACCCACCCACCTACCCCCAGATGCTCAGAATGTTCCAGTTGTCAGTCCTGCCCTTGGCCAAAGAGGGCTCTCCAGCCCCAGGGCAGGCCCCTATATGGAGGGCAGCAGAGGGGAGAAAGCCCCAACTCTCTCCCCTCTCCCCTCAGCCTTGGCAGTATTGATGGTCATTTGTACTGCAGCACGCCCCGTGGGCAGGGCAGCCGCTCGCCCTCTGCCCATCCTGCCTCCTCCTGTCCAGCACAAGGCTTGACCCTGGCAGTGCTCCCGGTGAACTTCCTGCACAGAACCTCCACCTCAAAGTTGGCTCCCCAGGGAAACTAGCCCTATCAGGAACCACAGACCTGTGCGCTCTTAGCCTGGCCCCATTTTTATACACAACACAACGGAGGCTAAAGAAGACAAATGGTCTAGCCACGAATGTGCAGCTTAGTAATGGTGCCACAGGTGAAGCTCATGCAGGTAAGGAGAGCCCCCCAGGTCTCTGAGCTGAAAGACGGTGGAACTAAGAGCTTCAGTCTGCTCGCCTCTGACGGCCAACAACAGGACCTCCTACCACTCAGGCCACCAGGACGACTGATGTAGGCACTGGGCAGGCCAGTGCCTTTCTCCACTGTCCTCCACTCCCGCTGCTGTCCCTGCAATTCCTTTCACATTTGCAAAAGGGGAAGGATGAAAGCACCTGCCTCGTCAAGGTCTTGTAAGAATTACATGAGTTAATATATGCAAACACCTCCGACTGGTCACCAGTACATAGAGAGCCCTTTATACATAGCAGGTTAAAAAAATGAATCACAAAGCAACTGTGAGACTTTCTAAGAAGACATTTGTGTTGCATGAGAATCAGCCGGGCGGCAGCGACAAGGGACTAGTCTTGCCAGCTCTCCAAGGGTGTCAGGCTTGACCTGAGCTGCAAAGGAGGAATAGGAATGAAGTGGCAGCAAGAGGAAGGAAGGGTGGTCCAGGCAGGGGGACCAGCAGGAACAAAAGCTCTCTGAGACAGAGTCCTTAGGCCAGTGTGCCTAGCACAGAGGAAAAAATCCAGGTCCAAGGCAAGAGTGGTAGACCACGAGGCTGGATAGGAGGGGAGGACCCAGATTATGAAAGGCCACTCACTACACGGGTGACTTGGGACAAGTCACCTTATCTCTCTGAGCGTCATTCAGCTCAGCTATAAAATGGAAAGCCAAACAGTACTGATCTTAAAAGGTCATTAAGAAGATTGAATGAATCAACATTTGAAAACCACTTAAGATAGTGCCACATATACCATAGGTGCTATAAATGCTTGGAGAACACATTGGAACTTTCTCTGAAGTACAATGGGAAGACACAGAGGGGTTTTATATGAATGAAAGGGTGGGTGCTGCGTGGATGGGAGGGTGGATGGATGCAGCACAAGTGGGTGGGAGTGGTTGAGTGAATGGACGTGTGGATGCATTGTTGGATGATAAAGGCAGTTGGTTGGTTGGATGGGTGGGTGTTTGGTTGGATGGATGGGTGGGTGGGTGGGTTGGTGGGTGGAAAACTGGGAGTGTGGTGGGAGCGGATGTTGTTTCATTGAATGGAAGCACAGTTGGGGGATGGAGATAGATTAATGGAGGTAACTGGGTGAATGAATGCATGGGTGCATGTTAGGATGATGGTGTGGCGGGGGTGAGAGCTGATGGAATGTAAGTGGTTGGTGGATTAGGAGATGGGCAGTTGGCTAAATGGGTCTGGATGTTTGGATGGGTACCTGGGGGTTGGGTGGGTGGGTGATTGGATGGGTGGGTGGATAGAAGGACACAAAGTGGGATGGGTGCACGGGGTGGATGAGCAAATGATTGGGTAAATGGATGGTTGTTCAGGTGAATGTCAGAAAGGTGGAGCAACTACAGCTGGTTGGGTGAACAGACGAGCGGGTGGAATGGAGGGGCTGTCCCAACGGGTAGCTGTTTGGGTGGTAGTAGAGAAGTTAGGTGAATTAATAAGTTGGGTGAAGGGATGGCTGACTGGGTGGTAGAGTGGTTGCCTGGAGAGTAGGGTGGGCAGTTGGGTGGATGCACATGACAAGGCGGCTGAGAGTAACAAGCAGTGGAGCAGGCGGGTGGAGTGGACAGTTGTTGGGTGCAGAGATGGTTGTCATCAGGTGGGTGACTGGACGGGGAAATCAATGAAGGGGCTGGATAGAAGAACGGGTGGGTGAGCAGGTGACCTTGGTTCCCAAAGCATTTCCGACGACCCCTCTCAAGGTCACGGCAGCATCTCTGCGATGGTAAGAGCAGCAGAAACAAACTGCGGCTGTCCCCTGCCCCGTCCCCTTCCCCCAGTGGGGTGCCCTCCCGCGGCCCCCGGGGAGAGCCCTACCTGGAGGCTGCGATCTCGGCCTTCTGGCGCGCAATGGCCGCGGCGCGCTGGGCGCCCTCCACGCTGTGCTCCACCTTCTGGCGCACCTTGTTGCTCTTGAGCGGCAGCACGCGGCGCTTGGTGCCCTTGACCAGCACGTTGTGGCGGTACTTCCCCGCCTCGCGGCGGCCGTCGGGCAGCGTGGTGCAGCCGTAGCCGTGGCGCAGGTTGTCGAGCCACTCACCCTCGTAGCGCAGGCCGCTGGAGCGCTCGCTCACGCCAAAGCCCGAGCGCTTGTCGTTCTTCCACTCGCCCATGTAGGTCTCGGTGGTGGTGGCGTCGATGTCGGCCTCGAAGGGTGCCGCCTCGTCGGGCCCCTCGGCGCCCTCGCCCAGGCTGGCGGTGGACGCGTTGTCGCTGGCGCCCGAGCTCAGGTCGCTCTTGAGGAAGCTCACGCGGCTGCGCTGGCTGCCCAGGGACGCGCGCGACTCGCTGCGCCGCAGCCGGCCCAGCAGCGCGCCCCGCTGGAAGAGGCCGCCGCCCTTGCTGGCGCGCGCGGCCCCCTCGGCGTGCGCCAGGAGGCTGAGCGCGAAGCCGCCGCGCGGGATGGCGGGCGAGGGCAGCGCGGGGCCGTCGGCGGCCGGCGAGGCGGGCGAGGCGGGCGAGTCCGGGGCCACCGTGCCGTTGCTGTGCTCGCTGCGCAGGGACGAGAGCGACGTGCGCAGCGGCGAGCGCACCACCACGGCCATCCCGTAGGGCACGCTCTGGCGCACGCCGTAGCCGTGGCGCATGCCGCTGGTGAACTGGCCTTGGTAGGTCCCTGCGGGCGAGGAGAGGGGGGTCAGTGCGGCCGCACCCCAGGGTCCCTGGCGCGGGCGGCCACCTGCGTGCGCCCGGGCAGGAGCGCGCGAGGCCGTCGCGGGGCGGGAAGTGCGACGTTATGGAAGCAGGCGAGGCCGCCGGGAGGTGAGGTTCTAAGCGTGTCACGCACGGTGAGCAAGGCAGGGGTGGCACAACCCTGTGACTATTTCCATTGGGGGAAACATGACGTGGGGACTAGAGTGCGTGTGAGTGAGGATGCTGATGTGCACAGAGGTGTGAGCACTTGGTGAGAACACGGTCGGGTTTTTAGGGTGTACAATAGGAGAGATGACGTGTGTTGGTTTTAAAGTGTGTTGTGTGAGCGGTGAGTGTGGATGAAAATGACTGCACAAACGAGTGTGCACAAATGATTCACACAAGAGAGAATGCAACAACATGAATGGACTTGTAAGACCATAAGTTTGTTCAGTAGATATTTGCTTGTGTGTGAGTATGCAAGGTGTATAGGGCTAGGTACTGTGGGAGTACATAAAATCATGAGTGTGCAAGGCAGTGTACAGAGGTCCCTGGGATCACATGAGTATATCATAATGAGAGCATTCAGGGAAAGGCAAGGTTGAGTGTGGGTACCGACTGTCCCAGCGTCAGCCCGTGTGCAGGCCAGGCTCTCTAGCACGTCAGGTTCAGTGTGTGTGCACGGCTACCCCTGCCCGAGTGTTCAAGGTCATGTGGTGTCCAAGGGCATGAGCAGATGAGGTGGTGAGTGTGCATAGTTGTCTGTCTTGGAGAGATGGGACAGTGTGTATGTGTACTGGTGTAAGACTGTGCGTACTGAAGATTTCTACGGGCCTGCATGTCAGTATCTTGTGACGACAGTGGTGGCTCACCTGCGGGGGATAAGCTCCAAGACCCCCAGTGGATGTCTGAAACCACAGATCATCCCAAACCCTGCTTACACTGGACCCACATACCTATGATAAAGTTTAATTGACAAACTACTTAATTTATAAAGTAAGTACAGCCAGAGGTTTACAAGTAATCATGAAATAGAATCATTATCACAATACACTGGAATAAACCTGTGAACGTTGTCTCTCGAAATATTTTCTTGTTCGAGATATTTTTGTTTTTTTTTTTTTTTTTTTTTTATAGAGGCATGTTTTATTTATTTATTTTATTTGTTTGTTTGTTTTGTTTTTACATGCACTGGGTACAGTCAGAAGCGCGGGAGGGTGAGAGAATTCACCAGAGCCAGAGCGGGGAGCAGAGCAGGCAGAAGGACTGAAGTACACTGCTGAGGGGAGCAGCGGGTGGCAGGAGAGGTCTGCGCGCCATGTGGGACCCTCCTCGGGTGGCCGGGGAGCAGCCGGGGATCGAACCGGCGCCGCAGAGGCCGCGGGCAGCTTCGCAACCCAGCGCTCAACCGCTGCGCCACCGGGGAGGCCCTCGAGATATTTTTGAACTGAAAGTAACTGCAACTGTGGAAAGCAAAGCCACAGATAAGAGGGGCTACTGTGGATGGGCTCATGAGTGTGCGAGCAGTGTGTACACGGTGGGTGAGAGTCCAGGGTCCCATGAAGGTGCAAGGTGGGTATGGGTGAGGCTCTGAGTATGAGGGGTCATCTGAGAGCTAAAGCACAGATCGTAGGAGGCCCTCAGCTGAGTGAACACGCAAGGTTATGGGTGTTAGTGGAACTGGGTGTCAGCAACAGAGGCCTTGCGTGTCAGTGAGTGTGAGCCTGTGAGCTTCTGTGTAAATCCGTGTGGACTGTGTGAATGAGGAATAGCAAAGATTGGTGACTAGAAGCGCAGAGTCCTGAGCTAGGCTGCTGGATCCAAATCCTGCCCCTGCCCCTTCTGGCTGTGCAACCTCAGGCAAGTGACTTAGCCTCTCTGTGCCTCAGCTTCCTCAGCTGTCAAACAGCTAATAATTACCCCTTCATAAGGTTGTTTGAATAAATGAAAAACTGAAAGAAAAGGCGCATGTGTGATATTGTGGCTCTACAAAGTTGTGCTAGTATATGAGGGCCCCTGAGTTATAAGAAAAAGGTGAAACATGCTGACAAATCACCTTCTCTCTCCCATGCTTCTTGATGTGCTAGGCTCCTGGGGTGCCCTCCCCTTCCCCCCTGAGTGACAGCATTATCTGGCACTTTGTTAACTGTCATCTGTGTCCACCCCCAAATATATCCTCAACCCCTTCCCTACCCTTCTGAGTTTCCACATGTCAGCTTGGAGATGGAGGCCCCCTGGATGTCACATAGCCCTCATCTTCCCACCAGCTCATCATCTTCCTCACCCACACCCCTGCGCCACCTTCCTGGTCTCTCTCTCCCCAGCAGCACCACCGATAGCCACTCACCCTACGCTTCTGTGCCTGCACCACATGAACCAGTGCCTCTTACAGCATGATCTCTGAGTCAAGGGTGGATATTTGAGTTGTTTTAAATACAAGCTGATACTTTCCAGGGATTAACCAAAAAACCCTAACAGTATTCTTCCCAACAGTGCCCAGGAAGGTGATAAACAGCCAGCCGGGGAGGGGCTCCTAAGCTCAGCCCAGTCAGCCTTTGCACGGGTGGTTCCTTCCGCCTGAACCCCTTCCCCTCCAGAGAGCTGTCAAATCTTGGCGCACTGAGACCCTGACCACCTGTTTAAAATTCCAGTCTGCCTGTACCTCCCACCCGCAAGTAGCCAAGCATATCTGATCCACTTTGACATTTTTTCTATAGCATCTACCCCCTTCTAACATTCCATGTGATCTATTCATTAACTTACAAAGTGCCCCCCTCTAAAATGGAAGATGTGTGGGTACAGGGATCTTTCTTGTTCTGTTCTCTGATGCATCCCCGGGACAATGCCTGGCACTTGGAGGTGCGCCATAAATGCTTGCTTGATTGGCTGAACCTGTTCAGAAACTCCACCTCAGTGCATGACCTTGGACAACTCTCTTCCCTTCTAAAGACCTCAGTTGCCTGGTCTGCTCATGTTCTGCCTTCCGGTGCTGAATAGGAAGCTCTCTAAGATCCCACCGACCTCTGAGACACGGAGCTCCAGGAATTGGCGCACTGTGACCTTGGAGGTGAGGCACAGAGCACCCACCGGGCTCCGCACTACCTGGCCGCTCCCTGCAGAGTCTCCTCCAGCTCAGGGTCCTGCCCCTAGCCCACCCCAGCCCTCCTGCACGAAGGGCCTCTGTGGAGGATCATACTGTGCAAGGGCTCACTTAACCTCTCAGCAGCCCTGGGAGGCGGATCCCGTGATGACGGCCACTCACAGGACAGGGAGTTGGTGGTCTGAGAAGTTAGGTGACTTGACCAAGGACGCAGGATTCAAATTAAATCAACCTGATGCCCTGAACCCCTATTTCTCCATCCTGGCTGCCTACGCGAGGGTTTACCGCCCTTCTTTGCTTCATTTTTACTCAAAGCATCCTTACTGTAACATATAGGCTGCTTTTTCTCTTATTAACATCTCCCTGTCTAGAATATAAGCTCCATAAAGGTGGGGATTCCCATCTTTTGCTTCACTGTTGGACCCTTCCCCGTACCAAATAGGTACCTAACAGATACCTGGATGAATAAACAAATACCGTGCATCTTCTATCCCTTCATTCTCTTCTTCCAACTTGATCCATCTGAAAACAACTCTATGCACGACTGGAGAGGTACGGAGCGGTTCCTATAAGATCCACCCAGGAAGACATGCCTAGTACCTACACCAGCGCCCAGGTTCATAGCCGGGTCTAGCTTTGCTCCTTCCCCTTGTGTCAAAAGAAAAAGTATGAAAGGAGAAAGGGAACCAGCACAGAGAAGGCGGTAAACTGGAGGAAGGCAAGAAAACATCTCATCTTTGGGTTGGACAATCTGGTGAAATTAAATCAGCCAGTCTACCTTTAGCTTAAATTTGGCATGAGATGGGCTGACATGGCCCCTTTAAGCCCCAGAAAAACAGACTGCAACAGGAGAGCAGCTCTTGGCCACCAAGTGGGGAGGAAGCGGCCAGGCTATATTAGGAAACTTAGAAGCGAGTGGCAAGAGGCACAGACACCCAGGGGAGGTTGGGAGGGATGGGGCCTGGGAAGGGGAAAAGCCAAGTGCTGGGGCCAGCCCCAGCCTGACTCTCTCTAAGATAGGGCAGGTCTCCCTGGGGACAGGAAGAGCACAGCAAGAGGGAGAGCAGGGCGGCTCAGCCCACAACATCTGTGCCAGAGCCTCCTCTGCTGCCCTCGGGGCAGAACCCCTCATTTGGCTTTATAAATCCTGCAGGGTTTCCCAACACCCTCAGGATAGGACCAAGAGTCTTGGGAGCTGCCTGTCGGGCTCTGCAGGCGTTGCCCCTGTCCACAGTCCACACTCCTCTTGAACTGACTCTCCACTCATCTTGCCTTCCGACCTCAGGACCTTTGCACTTGCTCTCCCTGTGTCTTGGCCCGCCCCTGTCCTTCTTCCTCCCCTAGCTAACTCTGACTGCTATTTCAAGCTTCAGCTTCAATGTGACTTCATCCTGGGAGATTTCCTGAACCCCATTCCCTGAGTAATGCCACATGACGTCCTGTTACCCCAAACTTCTTACGCTTTTCCCAATGACAGTCAAATAGTAGTGGCAATCATTTGTTCACCGTCAGCCTTTTGGACCAGATTTTGCCTTCCAAGAGGGAGGAGGCCATGCCTAGCTTATTACTGGCTTATTAGCTGTCTCTGGGATGGTCCCAGCATCCAGCCAGTCCCCAGAACCAGAGAAGTAAACATCTGATGAATCTGGGTCTTCTCCCGATCACCCCTTCCCTTCTCCCAGGAGCAGGGACCATGTCTTCTTTCCTCCCTCCTGACTCAGTACCTGGGAGGGCTCAGCACTGAATGGCAGTGGATACCAAGCGTGTTCAGGGCTAGATTCAGCAACTTGAATGCTGGGAGTTATTGGGGTACTTGTAAAAGGTGGGTGAAGGGCCTCCCTGGTGGTGCAAGGGGTTAAGCACCACACTATGAAGCAATCCGC